TGTGACTGCGATTTCCAAAAGCTCCATGGATCTTTGCAATTAGAAATTTGGTTGTTCAACAATCGAACAACCGAAATCACAAAAAGTTCGATTGTTGAACAACTAAAATTGTCCCAATTTCGGTTGTTCAAAAACCAAAATTGTGATTGCGAATTCCAGAAGTTCCCTAAATCTTCGCAGTCAGAAATTGGATTGTTGAACAACTGAAATCCCAATTTTGATTGTTCAAAAACCGAAATTGTGACTACGAATTCCAGAAGCTCCCTGGATCTTCGCAGTCAGAAATTTGGTTGTTCAACAACCGAAGTTTTCTTTAGTTCCTCCAAATAACTATTTCCATTATACTTTGTAAATTTTCCCTCTTTGTAAAAGATACGTCTGTCATTTGTATTCGTCTCAAATGACCCCCCATATCAGAATACCAGTTGCACTCCCTCAGTAACCATCGTCAATGCTATTGTATTAAATGAATAACATGATTTGTGTTACAATAAATAATACAATAAATTTGGATACTTCTAACTACTTTAGGGTTCATAAAATGTGAGTATTATCTAACAAATTGAAATATTGTACTACTATAAAAAGAAAAATAATCAATAAACAACAAAAATAATAACTGCTCAAAACAATCAATTGTAACAAAATTAACAAACTTCTCTATTAATTGTAAGAAAATTAACAAAAAATAATCAACAACATAAGGCAAGAGTAAGAACAATAACAATCACGACGGTGAGCCAATCTCGTGAGATACTGTATTGGGGGAAAGTAAAAAGAGTATGATCCACCTATGATATTGTATTTGGCTTGTTTTCCTGTATATATATAATAATTACACTAATACGTGGGAAAAATAGGCACCAATATTTTCGATTAATCAAAAACTGAAATCCACAATATTTCGGTTGTTGAAAAACCGAAATCAAAATTTTGGTTTTTGAACAACCAAAAAACCTAATTTCAGTTGTTAGGGAGAGCAATTCACATTTTCGGATGTTGAACAACCGAAATTAGATTTTCGGTTGTTCAACACCCGAAAACACTAATTTCAGTTATTGAACAACCGAAACCAGCACGGGAAGGTTAAAATGGCTATTTCCGTTTTCGGTTGTTGAACAATTGAAATGAACAACCGAAACCAGCAAGGGAAGGTTAAAACAACTATACCCTTTTTCGGTTGATGAACAACTGAAATGCTTTTTAATTCGGTTCTTCAATACCTGAAAACGGATAAACTCGTCTTTTTTAAAAAATGTCGTTATGAAAGGGAAAAATAGACATCCTGATAATAAAGGAAACTCAAAGGTGTATCCGTAATAATGTATATTATAATGGATATTAGCGTAATTTTCTCAACTTTATAAGGGTGATGCCCTAAACAATCAAATTAAGTGCAACTCACAAATTCACTAGAAGAGATTTTTTTTTATGCTTAAAAACCCTCAATTCGGTCATCTCGACCTCAAGATGTATAAACATGAGAAAAAATAGATTTCAAGTCTTGAAATTAATGCATCTTGTAATATATTAATTAGGCCTTCAATTTTTAAGATTTCAAGTTTTCATAGATCTTCTCGATCTACACTACTTTTGGGTATTTAAATTGTATAACTAGTGATGAAAATAAATTTGGATACCATCATAAAAATTTATGATACTACTATTTCAGTACTATTTGGAGGTGCGCCTTACTTTGAAATAACAATAGTACTAAGAGAAAAAAAGAAAAGAAAAACGAAAACAAGACTGTAACAACAATAACGTTAAGGATTCTGGTCTTCCAAAATTGAAAGCCGGTTTAAATTGATTTATATTACTTATTTAAACTGATATAATATATATTCCATTCTCATAGTCTACTGTGTCTTACCTCTTAGCAATCACCATTCCTTCAAGATGAATCCACGATACAGTCTCTCATAGATGACTACTCTCTCTTTTTCTAATTATAAATGGATGTTGTCTCAGTTCCTACAGGCTTATAGGGTGTGGTTTGTGTAAGGTTGAGGGCCTGAACAATCAAAGGCGCACCTTTAAATAGTATTGAAAAATGTTGTTCACTTTGGAAAATATTTAGGATAGCCCAAACATGTATTTTCATTTCTGATTATGAAATTTAAAGCTTCAAAAATAGTGTAGATCATGCAGATCTATAAATACTTGAAAATATTGAAAATTAATGATCTAGATTATGTATTACAAAATGCATCATTTCTAAAACTTGAAGTCAATTTTCTCTTTTACATTCATGTATTTCAAGGTATTGGATTTGAAAGTTTTTCGGCATAAAAAACAACTTCTTCTAGTGATTTTTGTGGTGAGCCATAGTTTGATGGTTTAGGGCCCCAACCTAACACATATATAGAATACAATTCAAATGTGAGAAAGAGAAGACTTGTTCAGTTCCCATACATCATAAACATGTCGAATACAATTCAAATATATGAGAGAGAGAGGGAGGGGGGGGGGGGTGGTGGGGGATGAAAACCACATTTACATCAACCGCTGTTCCTTCTGGCCAAGAAGGTAATGATTTGAGGGAAGAATGTTTTTTTCTTCTTCTTATTCCTCTTCTTCTCCCTAAATTCAGACCCTGTACTAACGAGATCATCGCTCTCAGACATGAATGTCTTCGAGCTTGATGCCTGATAAATGGAGACACTATCACCATCTCCATCCAAGCTCTTGGTATCTCCCATCAAAACCTGCAACACTGAAGGAGAACCGCTCATCCTTCGAAGCTCTTCTTGATCGGTTCTCCACTTCCTTAGCTCTTCCTCTATGACCAACTTCTCTTCCATAGCTTTCTCTCTCTTCTGCACGGCCATACATAACGCCTCCTTCCTCGAACCCAAGTCTCTCTTTGCTTCCTTTTCCCTCTCTAAACTCCTCAACTCAGACTCTTTTGCCAAACCCAACTCATAAAAAGCAGCAGCCACCCTTGCACTCGCTTGTTCCTCTGCCTCATAGGCTCTCTTGCTCATCTCGAAGTACTGGTCTAGAGAGAGAGTCACCCCATTTTGTGAGCTCCCATCCAGAGCTTCAATAGCTGCAAGGGCTAGCCTCTCCGAGGCCTTTGAAGCCTCAATCTCTCTGATGGTTGCTATGAGTCGAGCTTCCATGGTGGTTGCGCTACCTTTAGCTTGTTCAGCATCTTTTCTCACCCTCATTAAGTCTTCATGAGCCAATTGCTCTGAGGACTTGGCCTGATCAGCTTCCAAAGCAGCTATCTGAATTGCACTAGGAAGCTCGGCAATTCTCTGTCTACCCGCTCCCTCTTTCTCTAGAACCGTTTCTGTTTCCGATGTGATTCTATCTAATTCAGCTCTGAGCACTAAGGCCAATTCCCTGCCTTCTCTCTGTTGCATAAGCGCTGCCTTTTCTCTCTCTAGTTCACTCTTGAGAGAGAAAGCCGCAACTCTGAGACACTGTACCTCATCTTTGGCCTTCTTGATATTGCTCATTACTTCATTGAGCTCCTTCCGAGCCAAGGCCATGGCTTCAACTGGATCTATCCAAGCTTCTTCTAATCCCGCTTCCACATCAGCTGAGGCCATGGCTGAAAAAGTATCAGTTTGAGCCTCTTTTGATGTTTCTCGTGCATCACCCATCTGGTTCTCAGAGGAAGTTTCAAGCACTACCATAGCTCTGGCTTCCTTATATGATTCTAATTCGGCTTTGAGCCTCTCCAGCTCCTGGTTTTTGATCTTCATATCCATCTCCCCTTTGAGTAATTCTTGCTCTTTGGCCATGGATGCAACCATCCTTCTATCTTCTCTCTCTAAAAGTTCAGCATGAGCTGATTCAAGTGACTCATTAACTGCAATGAGCTCTGAAATGAGTTCTTGGACTGTTTTCTCAATCTCATTATATGTGGCCATGGCCTCTTCGGCTTTCTCAATAGCCATGTCCCTCTCTTTAAGCAGGGAAGCATATTCAAGCCTAAGTGTTTCAAGTCCATCTCTTGCTGATTTGATGGTCGAAATTGCATCACCATGCTGCTGTAAATGCAACAATAACATGACTTCACTGTCTATTTGCTTTTGTGGTTCTAGCAAAGGAACAAAGATATTCTCCTTACTATTGAGAAATTCTCTTCCTGATGTTCCATTTTTTGACATAAATTTCTCTAAAACTGAATGTATACTAAATTAAGATTGGAAAAAGTTTATATAAGGTTGCAACCTTAAAATGTAGAATTAAAGATGCATCTAAAATATCATCATAAAAGGTTGTTTGGATGCTGGAAAACCCTCTAATTGATCATCTTGACATCGAGATGTATAAATATGAAAAGGAAAAAAGATTTTGAGTCCGCAAATTAGTGTATCTTGCAACACATTATCTGGACTGTCCATTTTCAAGATTTTCATGTGTTTATAGATCTAATTGATTTGAATCATTTTTAGAGTTTAGATTTTTATAATTAGAGATGTAAATAGATTCTCATGTCATCCTAAGAATTTTTTATATCAAATATATATTTATGATAAAAATTAGAGGTGCACCTTAATTAGATCGTTTAAGGTTGCAACCCTATATGCAAACCACACCCATTAAGATTTGATGTTACATGAGGACATAAGCATAAATCTACATAAAATATAAAGTTCTTAAATTACTAAAACTTGTTTATAAATACTTACAATCAAAGAAAATAGGAAAAGTCACTTCTCTGTTTTATTTAATGCTGTCCTTTCCTTCATACTTATCCCTTTTTTTTTAATCCCCCTGTGAATCTTGCAAGAAAAGCCAAAATTTTGAAGATATTTTGAGAAATCATGTGATCTAGAGCAATCCCAAGGAAGACGGCTGCTACAATAATGGATTTTTTACCCTCAAAAAAAGAAAAAAAAAAATGTTTTCTCTTCCCTTTTTTGTTAGTCAAGCTTGGATTAAAGCCAGGAAATAAATAATTACCAGATACAATCAGCGAGAGTACCTCCATAGTCTGGACCTTACGGGCTTTCCAATCAATGACGCCTTCAAACTTGGTTACAGCTTCTTTCACAGACTCAAATGGAGATGCACCATCAACAAGAGCTTGATTTGGCGTAGGCTTATCAGACTGTATTGACTCACTCTTACTCACTTCATTAGAGAATTTAGTCTTATTAGACTGTATCGATTCACTTTCTCTCACTTCACTAGAGAATTTAGTTTCATCAGATGGGACTAATTCACTTTCTCTAACTTCACTACAGAAGTTATTACTAGGTGCAGATTCATCAGTCTGTACACTACTTCCTAAATAATCACTCCCATTTTTATTAGATTGAGAGTCCTTTGACTCTGCTTTCAAATACTGGGAACATGTTTCGTCGGCGCAAAATGGTGAATTCATTCCTTCTAAATTAGGAAATGGAGATCCTTGAGAAGATGATGAGCTAGTTAGAGAGAGATTAGAAAGGGTAATCTCTTCTGGCATCACATTTTCCTTAGTTTACCCTGCAACTGCGAAGTAACATAAGATGTTAACATTGAATAAAAAAATTGATTGATGCATAAGAAGTGATCATCAAATCAGCATTTTTAACTTAGCATTTTTAACTTAGTTATTACTAGGTGCAGATTCATCAGTCTGTACACTACTTCCTAAATAATCACTCCCATTTTTATTCGATTGAGAGTCCTTTGACTCTGCTTTCAAATACTGGGAACCTGTTTCGTCGGCGCAAAATGGTGAATTCATTCCTTCTAAATTAGGAAATGGAGATCCTTGAGAAGATGATGAGCTAGTTAGAGAGAGATTAGAAAGGGTAATCTCTTCTGGCATCACATTTTCCTTGGTTTACCCTGCAACTGCGAAGTAACATAAGATGTTAACATTGAATATATGCATAAGAAGTGATCATCAAATCAGCATTTTTAACTTAGCATGAAGGAACAGCCTAGCAGAGTAGCATTGCTATAATCAAAGGCAATATTCAGAAAAGAAACAGAGACTCTCTGTGTCTCTCTATGTTGCATTTGTCAGTTTCTGTCTATTCTTTTCCTTTAGAAAAGGGAGCAGTAACTAAGATATGCTGTATCAATGACAATTGCTCGCTTGATGTCATACCGACAATGGGACTAAAATGTTCAGGTTATTGAGCACAAAACTTCGATAAAAAGATATCGTTCTCTCTCTCTCTCTCTAAATCATCATGCCAAACTTTTTTTCTTTTTTATTTTCTTTGGACAGTTATCAAATCACTTAGTTAAAATATCACATTAGCCATAGCCCACAAACTCAAGCATTACACTTGACTCTAGCAGCCACCAAGCCGATTTTACTCAGGACTCAATCAGTAATGAGGGGCATTAACGTAATAGTTTATCCGTAATCATATATATAAAGGATAACTTTTCTAACTCATGTTTCCGATGAGTTCAATTGAGTCACTAAGCAAGTTAAGTGAGGCCCTTATGAATCATGGTCTGAATCATTGGTACAGTGAGAGATTCATCAATGGGCTTGGCAAACATACACATAAATTTTGCAATCCAAACCTCAACCAAGTCGGAAGATATATTTTGTTAGTAATTAAAAAAAAAAAAGTAAGTTAGAAAGTATAAACTTATCCATAATGCTTAATAGTGAGTATGGTCGTTCTTTTTGCAGAACCAGAATAAGTAATGGCCATGAAGCAATATTTTCAAAAAATGAAAACGAAAAAAAGAAAAAAAAGAAGAAAGGTGAAACAAAGGCGATGAGTATACTACGTTTCTCAATTTTTTTCTATCTTAGAACTTTTTTTTTGGTATTGTATGGCATCTTTCTATCTTAGAACTTTTTTTTTGGTATTGTATGGCATCATTTATCATGGTTTTCGCAAGCTTTCGTAAAGCTTTCAGGGATTTCCCCTGAATAGAGAAACTATAGGAAGCCTCGTTTTTTTATTGTTAGCTGTTGGAAGCCTCTGAATACAGGCCTGGTAATTATCAACGCCACTATGAAAATCAATAGATTGAATTTCCAATTCAGACCAGAGTTCAATTTATCCCCTGAAAAAAGAACAGAAAATCCTGTAACCTAGCACTCTCTCTCTGGCACAGATTTTTGTTACTGGATGCACGCGCGTGTGTGTGACAGAGAGAGGGGGGGAGGGAGATCTCAGAAATGAATAAAAACAATGAAATACCAGAAAATGGCAACTTCAAGGCATATTAGAACTTCACCAGTGATTGAAATCATGCTTTAAATTCGAGCAAATTAAACCAAAGGACCAACCATCCTCTTAAAACTTAAAATTTATTAGTCCAATCAAATTCCTTAGTTCAATCTCTTAATCAAGTTTCTGATTAATACCTAACCAACAACCATCTCTTAACCAAGTATATTCTCTAGTTCCATCTCTTAACCATTGGTTTCTGATTTATAATTCACTCAGAGAGAGAGAGAGACCCAATAATTTTCAGTCTTTTGAACCCATTTCTGAGATTAATAAACAAAGAAATACCAGCAAACTAGAAAGTTCAGAGCAACATCAGAACTTCTCAAAAACCCAAATCAAGCAATTGGTTCCCAATGACATTTGTAGAGTGAGAAACCCAATAAACCGATATCAAGCAATCGATTCTCAATGCCATTTCTAGAGTGAGAAACCCAATAAACCGAAATCAAGCAATCGATTCTCAATGCCATTTCTAGAGTGAGAAACCCAATAAGATTTACTAAAAACTACAAAGTTCACAACTTTTGCCAGAATTTAGCAAGTACATAGCAAGGCTTGCATTTAGTATGGGAAGAAACTGAGCAACCCAATAAATTAGAAGACCCAATAAGATGCTTGTACCCAACATTAAAATGTAGAGAGAGAAACTTAACACGACCAATTAATCAATGTAGAGAGAGACATTTAATGAAGAGCATAGATTGGAGTGAGAAGCTTATTAAGATCAACAACAAGGAAGAGAGAGAAATCTACAGAATAAATATGAATAATGAATATATGCATATTATTTAATGGAAACGAAATCTACTTTAAGAGCTACCTGAATAAGACCACATGAATTCAAGGATGGACAAGTACCAATCAATCTCTGAACACTGAAATGAATGAACATATGGGACTGGTGAAATTGAAAAGAGACCAAAATACCCTCCAACATGATTTTAAAATAGCGAAAGCAACCCCATCTTGAAATGAAATGACTACCGTATCCTCATGACCACACTCGTATCATGATCTTCGAGAAACCTTTCCATATGCCTACACACATAATTCATAAGTCCGAAGACTCAAGAGTAAAGGCATCGTCTATAAATTAGATCATTTAGAAGGAGGTCACAATCATTTTTGTCCCTTAGATTTTAAAATAAGAGGTTATAAGACTATTATTGATCAGAGACAATGTTTCAAAAAAAAAAAAGAGTGTTTCATGACGGCTGGACCGCATGATGACATATGCGGTCCCATCTAAAAACAATGGAAACTAATGGTCCAAATGTTTTCTTGTAGAATTAGTATATCTAGTTTTTAAATTTTACTTGTTTTTTCATGTTCATGATCTCCATGTTATAGATTACATGTCATCAAAAATTAAGTCCAAAAATTCATCTCAAAAATAGATTTATTAATAGGCCCGTATTTCTACATATGTAGGATTGGATGCATAGAAACCGGGTCAAAAAAAAATGTTGAACTTCGTGACTCACCTTAAGCCATCCAATTTGGCATCTAATGAGCGAAAATAGTTATTATATCCTTGTACAAAAGATAAATGGTCTCTTCATAGACAATCCCATCTTTATATTCATGATCACACACTAGGATTTAGTTGATAATAAATTTCCCAGTTAGTTCGAGTTGCACTTTTCAAGTCAAAATTAATGTGTAATATTATTGTTAACTTACTTCAAGCTTAATTTTCAAAATTGACTGAAAATTATAGAAGATGTGGTTTGTAATAAGGTGTCAACCTTAAACGATCCAAGTAAAGTGCACAACGAAAGCTCGTTCAAAGATATAATTTTAATATCAAATTTTTTTTTTTAATGGATATTTGAGACGTGTCTTTTTTTTATATATATTATAAGGTTGTAACCTTATGTGAACTTCTTTGAATTATAATGCATAAAAACACAGAAAATCTTCACCTTTTAATTTTGATTTTTTGAGATGACTAAATACCTTATATTTACTGCAAGTATGATCATCACAACCTTTGATAAGTTTGAGGGATACACCAACCAAGAGGTGCAGACCTAGAATGCAATACAATGCTTAGTTTGGAATAAACCAAAAAAGACTTTTGAGGGGTTATGTTCGTAACTAATCTTAATTTTGGCAGGCTTTTGTTAAGTTGGGATTGCTGTAATTAGTATTATTACTATATAAAAGAAAAACAATCTACAAAAACAAAAAAGAATAAACAAACACTCCAAGAAAGAGACAACCAATCACAACGAAAAGATATATGTAGATCGGCAACGTGCCTACATCCACGTGAGATAAGAGCTTCTTTACTGGCAATAGAGAATAGGGTTACAATAGGTCTCTTCTTCACGCCTCTCTGTTCTCTCTAATTACAAAGCAATCTGCATTTTTTCCCTTAACCCTTAACCTCATCGCTACAATATATATAAAGTCTCGTACAAATTACCAATGTACGGATATTCGAGGGTTTAATTAGATTAAATTAAGAATACAAAACATTAATCCTCAACAATTACTTGGGTAAGGTTTTGTATAAGGCATCAACTTTAAATAATTAAAATAAGGTGCACCTCAAAACTATGCCAAAAGATGTAGTTTTGGCATTAGAAAACCTTGCAATGGCGTGATAGTCTATTATCGCCACTAATTGTGAAATTTAAAATTCCAAAAAGAGTGCAGACTGAGACAATCTTTTAATTAATTTTTTTTAAAAAAATAGACGGTTTAGATAATATGTCAAATGATGCACTATTTTTATGACTTGAAGCCCCTTTCTTCGATATCAATATATCTCGAGGTTGAAATGATCAATTTAAGAGTTCTTAATGTCAGAACAATCTTTTTCTATAGATTTTTAAGGTGCACCTCACTTCAATACTATAAAATTGACATTCTATATAAATTTTTCCTTATACTTTTCCAAACAAACTGATTGCAACGTGACATTTGCCATTAGTACAAAAGGTTCAGGTTAGAAATATCTAAACTATCAAACCGCGAAATTAAATTGGCTGAGTCCCATATAAAGTCCTTAAGTATAATAATTTCTTGGACATTGAGTGTTTGATCAATTATATATCCAGATGTGAAATCACACAAATAGATTAAATTAAGCTAGTATATAAATCTTTTATATGTAATTTGGATGTTTTTAACAATAATTTTTCACTTTTTCTTGACAAATGCCATATTTTTATATATTTTTATTTGTATAGATTTTTTTTGAAAAAGATTGCTTACAAAGAAGCCATTTATCTTTTGTACAAGGAATTCACAACTATTTCCACTCATTAGATGTCAAATTGGATAGCTTGGAGTGCATCACAAAGTCTGATACTTTTTTTAAAACAAAATTGTGTCTAATCAATGACACACTTTTTGATATCTAACCACCCATTTTGAAAATTTTGTGTCTAACCATTTATTTTAAAATTTAATGGACAATAATGACTATGATCTCTGCATAAAAAGGTAAATGATCTCTTTGTAGACTCTCTAATTACAAATCAATTGTTTCTAAATCTGTGGCTTTTGTATTTTCTTGTGCTTATTGACTTTTTATATTGGTTTTGGTTTTGTTTAATGTGTACTATTTTATTTTAATTTGAATTTGTTTTATATTTTTTAGGGTCATTTTGGCCGTGCATACCACTTGAGCATGTCCACTAAACTCACCCAAGTTCTTAAACATTGTTTTTATTTACCAAATGTGTTGATAAATTTTTTTTGCCTCTTTGTAAAAGAAAACCTATGTATCCTCTATTTTGCACACATATTGACCGCATCTAAAAGCTTCAAATAATGATTAATAAATTTGAATATGTACAAAAAATATATGAGAAAATACGTTTGACCTTCCCATCTAATCATTAAGGACAGACAAATGCGTAGCATGTGCAAGGAAACTTTATAAGGGAAAATGTGTCGCCTTGATTATACCTCATTTGAGAAAAAGTTATGCAATGACCTTTTCTTGACCTTATTTCTCACTTAACACCATTGACCTTAATGTACTTCCAATTCAAACTTAAATAAAGCTTTAAATGGGAAATCCATTCCATAGATTAGGGCACAATGCTTAAAAAAAAGGGATCGGTGAACTGGATTACCCGTAAGGAAAATCAGTTCGGATCGGCATATTGGTGATCTGACCAAGTGCATCAGGCAACAACCAAACGAAGAAAATACGAAACAAAATAAAAAGTTGAAAAATTAATAAAAATAAAATGTGGGCTCGGATTGGTTGGTTTTGTAATAGATACGGGCAGTTCTATCAGATAATTGTTTGGTTTCTTGATATATGGTTGGAACCTGACCGGGCCCATTGTTTCTTGATCCAAATCGAACGATTCATATCCAGATCAATAATTTTTAAAGGGATTGTACCTGGAGGTCACAATTATTCATGTCCTTTAAATTTCAAAATGGGTGGATGTAGAGTGTCATTGAATAAACACAAAGTTCCAAAAAAAATTCTCGAATTTTGTGACTCACCCCAAGCCAATCTAATTTGACATCTAATGAATGTAACATCCATGTACAAAAGATAAATGGTCACTTTGTATGTAATCTTTTTTTTAAACTCTATTAGGGCATGATGCTAGAAGTTGTGAGAAAATACACAATAAAATTATTTATTTTTTATAGAATAATATTACAACACCCATAGCTATTAGATGTGATTTTCAATGGGTTGGAGCATGCCACTAACCATGCTGCATATTTATAACAATTTTCTCCAATTTTGTGTAAAGGACATATTTATACGCGAACAATATCTAGTCACCCAATTTTACATCTAACGGCTAGAGGTAACCATGACCTTGCATTAAAAGTAACTGATCTTGCAATGTACAATCCCAAATGCTATGTACCACAAGGATCTAGGGGCAGACCCAAGAATTTATTGAACTTAATATTTGAAGAATGTTTTTTTTCGAGATTAGGAATATGTGGATACATTTTGGAAGCGTAGAAGATGAGGGAGCATGAGCCACCCAATTTAATGGCCTCATTTGATCCAATCTTGTCCATTTCAAATATCTTTGGTGGTCCTTTTAAAATATCTATCTATCAAAATTTTCAGTACTGCTGATGAGGGTGCACATTTGAACTTTATGCTTCTCGATTGGTTTGTTACGGGTTTTTTAAAAGTGCTCATTTAGATCGGAATTACTTAATCTAGATTGATAACTTATGGAACCCGTTTGGTTTCTACCAGGGAACCGATCGGTTCTGTCAGGGAACCATCCATTATGGCCCCACTTTTTATTTTTTATCATTTTTAAATTTTTTAATTTTTTCTCTCTCTGTTTTTAACCTGTTGTTTTTTTTAACCTGTTGATTGATTCGGTCGGATTGCCGATTCGAACTGCCAATCTGTCGATCCAAACTCTGTTTTCAATAGGGCTGATATGTCAAAGCGATCTTTTTTTCAAACATTGGTTCGTACCACTATAAGGCCTTGTTTTGGACTTGTCAATGGCTATGTAATCTAGAGCTGGACAAGTGTGGCATCTGATATACGTGTGGTGCTTGAAATGCTAATCTCAAATTTGAGCTTTTTAGATGCAACACAAATGTGCACCATTTGATAAAGGGGAAGTAAGCTTTTTGGTGACATTAAGCATTTCTACAGTGAGATTTCAAGAGAAAAAAAAAAGTGTCTAAATTCCTACTGCATCAGTAACATTCTCTAACAACACTGATCAGATGTTAAATTGAGCGAGTAGAGATGCATCAGTAACATTTTCTAGAGTCCAAGGAGATTTTATTCGAACTTTGTAAAGCAATACCACACCCCCATGGATCCCATTTTACATAGAACACAAGCTATTGGCGAATCCGGGAAGTCGGCCATTCGGAAAACTGGTCCCGATATTCAATATAGAAGAAAAAACGCATAACTTACACATACACATTATGTATGGTGTATGACAACATAGCAATAGGCCACATATCCATCGTTAGTTTAGGAAATGAATGGTGTTGATCAACCACTCAAAAAGCACGCTGAATTCTCATGGAGACATTTCCTTATGCTTGCTTATTGCTTACCAGCACCCTTTGTTTACTGAACATAAGGTGGATGAGCTGCCCTATTGACATATTACCGTACACGTTATGTGTAAGATGCATTCCAATCATCAAAATGATAGAAAATAGAAGCAAAATAAAATTATATGGTTTCCTAAAAGATGAGGGTTCTATAAAGCCTATGCTTTATGAAAATAAAATAAAGCCTCACCTCAAATCCTCATTTGAAAAGCACTTTCGGCAACAAAAATTTCCATGATGGCTCTATAAATCAATTTCCAACGCCGGCAGTGAAATTCAAAACTCAAAAACTAGTGCAGATCCATAAAGACTTACTTTTAAGGTTAAATGTATGGTCTAGATAATTTGTTACAATTTACGCTATTTTTAGAGCTTCATATCCTATTTTTTTTCACAATCATTATGTTCAAGCCAAGATGATCGATGTAAATGTTTTCTAATGCTTAGATTGCAGTTTTCAATGAGTTGAATTATGAAGTGAAGCTTTACTTATTTTGATGGGACGGCAGCCCTATCAAACCATTTTCCTTTCTTGAAAAGGACTTTCTACCATAAAACATTTGGAACGGGGTGACCCCATCAGAGATACCAATGTAATTGTCAAAATTGATGGGGTCATAAATGTTTGCTCAATATCATGCCACAAACATTTAAGGGGAAGGAAGCAAAATAGAATCTGCTATTTCTAAGTTTTAGAAACAGATTTACTTTTTATGGTGGCCAAGCTTGGGACCTAGTGAAGATTAGGTGTGACACATCTCAGTCAAAGCTCCATAAGAGAACCAAACCCAAGTTTCAAGGCCATGGCTAGCAGCATGGAAACCAGTGTTGTAGAAGCCATTAATGGCCTCTTCCTCCTCTCCTCAGCTTACCTAGTCTTCATGATGCAGCTTGGCTTTGCCATGCTTTGTGCTGGCTCAGTTAGAGCCAAAAACACCATGAATATCATGCTCTCCAATGTGATAGATGCAGTTGTGGGCTCACTTAGCTACTATCTCTTTGGCTTTGCCTTGGCCTTTGGGTCCCCCTCAAACCCCTTCATTGGAACCAAGAGCTTTGCCCTAGAGTCAGGGTCCATAGACTACTCCTATTTCTTGTACCAATGGGCCTTTGCCATAGCTGTGGCTGGGATCACTAGTGGCTCCATAGCTGAGAGAACCCAATTTGGAGCTTACTTGGTTTACAGTTTTTGGCTAACTGGGTTTGTTTACCCAGTTGTTGCACACTGGGTATGGTCTAGTGATGGTTGGCTTAATACTGCCTATGGTGGTGGTGGCGGCGGCGGCCCTTTGTTGGGTTCGGGGGCCATTGATTTTGCGGGGAGTGGTGTGGTGCACCTAGTGGGTGGTGTGGCCGGGTTGTGGGGGTCGGTGATCGAGGGGCCGCGGGTCGGGAGGTTTGACGCATTTGGGGGGGTGGTGCCTATGCGTGGCCACAATGCAACATTGGTGGTGCTCGGGACTTTCTTGCTTTGGTTTGGGTGGTTCGGGTTCAATCCCGGGTCGTTCATCACGATCATGGTTCGTGCTCTCTCTCTTACACACCAGTTTCTGATTAGTTGAGGAATTTTTTTTTTTCTTTTTTGATAATTCAGTGGGGAAGACAGCCTCTATCCATTTTTTCAAATAGTTTAAGAGTTGGACCCCTATCAAATGTTAAATTCGACACTCATTTTTTCAAATAGTTTAGAAGTTGGTCCCCTATCAAATGTAAAATTCGACCGGTGGGGTGTGTCATTTCTTTACAAAAGAGTTTGAGACAACTTTTTGGCCTCTTAGCTTAGTCAATAGTACAACCCCAATCACCTCAGTTTACATTTAATAAGTAGGACCGACTGTGACCTTACCTAAGTAAACGGTCCTTCCCATTAAAAATGGGTGTGGTTTCTATAAAGCTGAGGCCCTAAACAATCAAAATAAAGCACACCTTTAAATAGAATCGAAAGATGTTGTTTCAATACTGGAAATCTTTGTGATGGCTTAGAAAATAAATTTTCATCTCTAATTATAAAGTTTAAAACTTAAAAAATAATGTAGATCAAGTAGATCGACAAACACATGAAAAACGTGAAAATTGACGGTTTGAAAATGTATTACAAGATGTATTATTTTTAAGACTTGAAATCCATTTTTTCTCATGTCTATGCGTCTTGAGGTCCAGATGATCAATTTGAGGATTTTTGGGCATCGAAACAACTTATTTTAGTGAATTCTTGAGGTGCGCCTTAATTTGATTGTTTAGGGCCTCACCCTAATATAAACTTATCCTTTTAAAAACTCGGTGCCTTGTAAGCAAGCAACTGTGCAATACCTTTCACCTGCCTAACAAAAGGCATGCCTATCTACCTTCTTCCAATTTCTCAATCTTTATTTGATTTATTCTTTTTAGCATTTTTTTAATGGTGTAGATTCGACCACATATATAAGGAGAAGGAGCTTGTTTTATTTCCTCTTCCTTTCTTGTTTTCATATGGAGGGATGATTTTGAGGGAAAACATATATCGACCATCAATTTATGGGCAGGAATGATCTTAACTACCACACTGGAAAATTTGGGGCTGGTTACAAAAATGTGGACCTCATGGGATTTAATGGTTAGAATGAACTGGGTTCATCTAAACACCAATCGACATGGCTCATTCGATCGTTTCCCTACGGATGGAAACTAGAAAACAGGATTGTATAATGGAAAAAGTTTATATAAGGCTGCAGCCTTATACTGTAGAAGTAGAGTGAACCTCAAAATTCCAGTAGAAAAGTTGGAGAACCTTATAATTGATTATCTCGACCTTGAGGTGTATGAATATAAACGAAAAAAAAGAATTCAAATCCAAAAAATAGTGCATCATGTAACAAGTTATTTGTATCATCCATTTACAAGATTTTCAAGTGTTTATAAATCTGGTCGATTTGTATCTTTTAGAATTTTGAATTTTATTGCTAAAGTCGAATACAAAATTTTCAAATCATTGTAAGATTTATGACACTAAACTACATCTCCAGATAAAATTTAGAAGTACACCTTAATTCTACAGTATAAGGAGGCAACATTATATAAACCTCACCCTATAAAATGATTTTTATTTTTTTATTTTTTATTTTTTGACAATTTTTGGATTTTGATGAATTCTAGCTGTCCAATTTTACATTAGATGACCTCAAATGTTTGAGAATTTTATGTACAAATAGCACCGGTATCATTGTGCAATCCTAAAAATATTCAAAATTAACTTTAAAAGTAGGGATTGTATACAACGAGACCATTTACCTTTGGTATAGGGAGGTCAAAATTACTTACAATGAACTGATGTGAAATCTAATAGCTTGGGTGTGTCATAAAGTTCGAAAAAATTTCTTTTAAACTTTGAGTTTGGTCAATGAAATAAATACAGCCACCCTATTTCATATCCAATGGTCAAGATTAATTGCGACCACTTTATACGAAATGTAATTAGTCTCATTATATTCTTTCCCTTAAAGGTAACTTTAGATTGTTCGTAAAGATGGTCGAAAGGAAAAGAAAAATAAGATGCATATGGCTAGAATGCATAGAGTTAGATGACTGCGGAATTTCTTGGTCGAGTTAGAAGAAAAGGCACTTCTAGAATTACAAAATTCATCCTAAAGAGGGAAAAGCATTTTAGAATTGCAACACTTTACTGATTGTTTAGCCGATCTCAATTCGTTGGGAAAAGGTTTTGACGATGAACACTCTGTTGATTGGTGGTACTCAAATCTCAAGCACACAAAAGGATTACAAAGTGTTGTAACTTATAAGGTTCACATGTTCTCAGCACTGTCTTCTACTATCTGTTAGGGATTGTTTACAAAGAAACCGTTTATCTTTTATAAATGGAGGTCATAATCATTCTTGTCCCTTAAATTTAAAAAATGGGTAGATGTAAGAGTGTCATTGAATAGACACAAAGTTCCTAAAAAAAAATAATCGAACTTTATGACTCAACTCAAGCCATTTAATTTAACATTTAATAAGTGAGAATGATTGTGACCTCCATGTACAAAAGATAAATGATATCATTGTAGAAAATCCCTATATATTATATGAGAATCCAACTAGGGATGGCAATAGGTAAAGTGGCCAGCCTACCCTAAGTAAGCATGGGACAAGGCCAGCATATGTCGCTCCTAGGGTTAGTTCCGGGCATGCATATGTGATCCATACTGCGGTGCCCAAGTTGGGTAGATCATGGCCATACCTAACCTGGGCATATGTCCGGCTTGGCCCACATGAAGAGGCCTAGGTTGGCCTTGCAACAAGCTAGACTGGGGTCCGGGTCTTGGCCATTACCACCCCTAAATCCAGCAATACTTGTTTTTTAAGTACTCAACAATCTTGACAGGGAAATGTAACTGGGGTGGCTCGAACAGCTTTGACCACCACACTCGCTGGCTCAACCGCTGGCCTTGTCACACTATTTGGAAAGCGCATCCTGGTCGGTCACTGGGATGCCCTTGATGTGTGCAACGGCCTCATAGGTGGGTTTGTAGCAATAACATCAGGGTGTGCAGTGGTTGATTTGTGGGCATCGGTGGTATGTGGATTCGTGGCTGCTCTAGTCTTGATCTGTCTCAATATACTGGCATTGAAATTCCAGTACGACGATCCTCTCGAAGCCGCTCAACTACACGGAGGCTGCGGAGCTTGGGGAGTATTATTCACAGGGTTATTTGCTAAAGAAGAATTTGTTCTGCAAGCTTACGGCAGCAAAGGAAGCGAAACTCGACCTTACGGAGTTATAATGGGTGGTGGATGGCAGTTGCTTGGCTCGCAGATAATTGAAATTCTCGTGATTGTGGCTTGGGTGAGTGTCACAATGGGACCATTGTTTTTCTTGCTTCATAAGCTGAGGATGCTGAGAATTTCTAGGGATGAAGAAGTTGCAGGACTTGATGTTTCTCACCATGGGGGTTATGCTTACCAGGCTCATCATGATGATGAAGAACCTCGATTCTATGCAGACTATGTTAGGATGCAAATGAATTCAAACTCTTAGTTATCATCTAGTTTTTTTATGGGGATTGGCCTAGTGGCACAAGGGAGACTGTCCAAAGTTCACATCCAAGATTATTCACACCTCAAAAAAAAGTCCTAAGCCAAGTATCACTTCTATGAGAGGTTTGTCTTATAAGTCATTATTTTTCCTACCCCAACTTTTAAAGCGATTTTATACTATAAGACCATTTACAACTGTTGCATGCTCACGATCATCGGTACCGTCTGATATGAACAATCGCTTCTAATTATCAAATATGAAATCAAGCGGCTAAAGGTGTATCAGGAAGTTTCAGAAAAAATTTACTAGACTTTTGAGTATAGTGATCAGCACACTTCCAACTGCGTGATTTTATTTATAATGGCTAAAAGTGATTGTAATTTTGTGCTAAAAGTAAACAGCCTTTGTATATAAATTGTCATTATTAAATTGTGCATTTATTTATTTGACTCTAAGTTGCTTGTTTGCTTTGTTAAAATGAAGAAGGGCAAGCCTAAGGAGCAAGAGGGAGTAAAAGAAATTCTTGCTATGTCCACTTTTTGGTTTCAAATTATGCTTTCATTGTACATGACTTAAATATAATAAGTTGGGCTTGTCGGCATAAAAATGATACTATTGATGTTGTGTTTTATGCATGGTTTCCCTTTATAGCTCTATGTTATGGGTAGTTTCTCTAAATCGAGTCTAGTTGACTATAGCATGTTGTTGACAAGTATCAATTGATGTAAAAGTTGAAATTATTAAAGAATTGTCTATAAAGAGAATATTTATTTATTTTTGTATATGGTGGTCAAAATTATGTTTGTTCTTTAAATTTCGAAATGGGTCGTTATAGAAGTATTATTGAATAGACACAAAGCTCCAAAAAAGAATTTTCAGACTTTGTGATTAACCCCAAGCCATCCAATTTGATATCTAATGAGTTAGAATGATTTGTGACATCAATATATAAAAAATAAATGATCTCTTTAATTGGTGTGGTTTTAGAAGGCCTCGCTAAAAAAATACAATTTTGTCATCAGAAAACTCTGAGATGACCTGCAAATTCATTTTTCCTCGTGAATGAGAATATGAAGTTCCAAAAATGGATATGGCCCTTACCCAAAAACATGGATCTGGCCGATATATATGGAAACTCAAAATGGATGGTCCAAAAAAGGCACCACAAAATGAATTAAGGCTTGAAATCTTTTTTTTGTTTTTTGTTTCCCCGATCCATGATTATGAGTGCTTCACCCAAAAACATGGGTCTGGCCAACTTATAGAAACTCAAAATGGGTGGTCCAAACAAAAGGCATTTCATAATTAATTATTTCTAGGGCGTGCAATCTTTTTTTTTTTTGGTTTCCTCGATCCATGATTCTGACATGGAAATGATCCGTTTGTCTAGTTTCCATATTTAATGTAGAGGGAATTGTTTAAAAAACTCTTTTGTTGTTTTTTTTTGAGGTAGTTGAGCAGCTGGAATCAAGCTTGAGATGTAGTGCTTCTAAATGTCATTTGCTAACCACTCGACCCCAAACCCAATTCCTTAATACCACATAACTTGGACAAATTTTTGTAATTTATTGCTCAATGAGCTGAGTCTTCACAAGATTATGACTGATGAGACAAATTCATGGAAAGGGTCCATGCCAAGCCCTAATTAAGCAATTCCGATAAGGAAAATGAAAACGAAAAGGGAGATAAGCAACAATTCCAATACAACAAAAATGCCTCTTGACTTCTTCTGAGCATTGTAGACTCCACATAATATACGCTATTTTTGGTTTCAATTGAAGTAAAACTTATACCATGTTTTGAGATTTTCTCGAGTTTTAACTAGAATTTCAGCTTTGCCCTTTAACCAAAGATAAGGAGTCACCCGACCTAGGTCCGTGTATGGGTCAAGAAATCAGACTTGGCGGGTCGGGTCTAGGTCCAATATTGGACACAACCACTATTCAAGTCCAGATTCATGTGGACTGGACCCGAATACTATTATTAGTTAAATAATATATAATATATACTATTTTAATGATATTTAATTCATAGGTAATTAAATATAACTATATATTTTAGTTATAATATTTAAATAAGGGTACAAATGGCATATAGATGCATCCGTAGCTGTAGAGGTAAGGTGCACCTTCAAATTTTATCATGATATATAATTTTAATGTAAAATGTTTTTAGGATTATCTCAAAATCTCTTTTTATATCTAATTATAAAATTTTAAATTAAAAAATGGTTAAAATCAAGTAGATCCATAAACATATGAAAATCTTGAAAATGGACGGTGTAGATAATATGTTGTAAAATGCACTATTTATGAGACTTAAAATCTTTTTGTTTTTCATGGTCATACATCTCGATGTCAAGATGAGCAATAAAAGAGTTTTTCAACATTAAAATTACCTTCTCCGATGGATTTTTGAGGTGCATCCGTAGTTCTAAATTATAAGGTTTCATCCATTTATAAACTTTTTCCTTTAAATAATATATGTATATATTTAATATAATACTTAAGTATATTTAATTTTTTATTATTTTTGGATCGGGTCCAATCATGTCCGGTTCCCAAGCCCGACCAGTTGCCACCCCTAAAGAAGGGATCAATTTTTTAGTTTTATCTAGGAAATTTGGATAATGTATTAGAGGAAGGATACAATAAAATTGGTCAAATTTGAAGTGACCCACCAAGGTCCGCATGCATGAACAACGGCTTTTGCCTCTCATTTATGGGTATTGATAGAAAAGAGTTGAGTTGACTTAGAATTGGTCGAGTTATTTAATATCACAACCCAATAGACATAGAGGAAGTCGCACAAACGTCAGTGATTTTCCCAAGTTTGGGTCCTTGTTACTAATTTCAAAGATGATTCATTGAGTCGGGCCTCAAAAAAGTGTCTGACTAGGCTGAATTTTGATGCATCCTTAAATCTAAAAGAAAGGTTCTTGAAGATTTCAAAAAAACCGAGAACTAAATTATTTAGATTACATCAAATTCTAATGAATTGGGCCTCAGGACAATGGTTAGTTTGAGACCGAACCCACATTTTAAATGTTGTATGTAATCTTCTTTGTTGGTCTAGGCTTGAGAATTAGGCTATGTTTCACATTTTATCTTTACACAATCAACACTAGAATAGAACCAAGGCCACCTAAAATGAGCTCCCTAGGACCTAGGGGGTCATTCTCTAAACTACAAAGTTGCATAATCTCCATCAATGTTTAGAAAAACGGATCAGTGGGATGGATCATCCACCGACCGATCCCATGTCAGATTGTCGATTCATATTTATTTGCATCAGCGATTTAGGAAATATTAAAAGTAAAGAAACAAAATAAACAAAAAATTGTATGAGGCTTTTAAACGTTGGAATACAGGGAAATAAGCAATAAAAAAATGAACAAGAATAAACAAGAGGGGACTTTTATGGTGGAACCGGCCGGTTCTGATACTTGGCCAGAACCGATTCGATTTCCACTAATTCACAACTTGGATTCACTTCATAAATATTTGGTTCCCTAATTTCACTTCAGGATCCAAAAATTTGACCATTGTGGGCATCCCAATACAAGCTTGGAAAGGATCTGATGAAAATTCGCAGCCATGAAATAAGCATTCATTGAGAAATTCACTCATGCTCACAAGTAGACTATAACCCATGGAGCCCATGACAAATACACAGTAATTTAAATTTGTACAATTACACAGAATTTAAAATTACTACAATAAGTGAGATATTCACATAAACCTTGCTATCTTAGCTAGAAAAATACGAACTGTGATATTCATTAACCAAGTGGACCAGACTCCTCAAACCTATGTTTTACTTACATTCATTAATTTCCTAAATTTATTTATTTTTTCTTATTCATGATTACCATGGTATAGATTATCCATCTCTAAAATATTGGATACAATTTAAAAAGGACTTTAGAGGGAGGACACAAATGAATAAATGAGTCAGCTGACTAAACCCTATCCTATTAGATATTATCCTATATAGGAAAAAATTTATATAAAGTGTCATTTTATACTATTGAAGTAAAGTGCACCATATAGATCTTCTAGAAGAGTGTTACTATATTGGAGAATCCTCCAATTGATCATCTCAACCTCGAGATGTTGGATATGAAAAAAAACATAAAAGAATTTCAAGTTCTAAAAATAGTGCACCTTGTACAAGTTATCTGGACCGTTTATTTATAAGATTTTCAAGTATTTATAGATCTACTCTATCTATACCACTTTTAGAATTTTAAATTTCGTATCTTGGTAGGAAAATAGATTTCCAAATGATCATCAATTTTCTTATACTAAAACTACATCTCCGAACAAAATTTAGAGATCTGTTTTAATTCTACAATATAAGGAAGATGCCTTGTATAAACTTCACACTCCTATATAATTAGAAATTATATATTATAAGATTGTACAATACTTGTTAGGAAGTACGATTTGGTTCAAACAAAATGCTCAAAAAGGTTAAGAGATATACTTAAAAAGACATGATTAGAAGTAGTACGAAAAGATATGAAAACTTATGATGTCATTGAGAGTATGACCTTTGATATAGTAGAATAATAGTCTAAAATTCGTATAGCTGATTTCAAACAGTTGGAAAAAAGCTATGATAATGATGATATTGTCTTTAGTAAGAAAAGAAAAACCATCCCCGCCATCTGATTTGAGGGTGGCTAGGTGTCAGTCCCTTCGACAAGATGAATGCAAATAATAGAACATTTCCTGCTACCCAATTTGTCTTCTAACCACTAAAGGCAAATTTTCATTGGATGCATAAATGTTTCATGTTTTGCAAAGGGTTGGTCGGATCTGGATCTGGCTGGACCCAGACCCGAAACTAAAGTTATCGGCCTCTGAACCAATTGAACCCAACCCAAAAATAAACAAATAAATATATATATATAGTTATATTTATTTAGATATCAATTAAATATTATTAAAATATTTAATATTATTTATATAATAACATTATTCTGGTTGGGTCCATATGGGCTCGGACCCAGACCCGGACTCGAATAATATTAGTGTCCAATATTTAGACCCCGACCCTCCTGCTCTGCCGGGTCCAAATGTCGGATCCTAGGTCAGGTCCAGGTCTATTGCCACCCCTAAATTACAAAGTTAACTAAGGGAAATTGCTTCATGCTGGCTAAACCACATGGCTAAATATGTGGTCCTAAAAGTGTAAAGCATCCATCTTTAAGATGGATGCAAGTAGGTATTCCATCTAGAAACAGCCAAATGTTTTCTTAGTAGAATATTTATTTATAATTTTTAAAATTCTCTTATTTTTTGAATTATTATTTATAATTTTTAAAATTTTCTTATTTTTTGAATTATTATTTATAATTTTTAAAATTTACTAATTTTTTCATATTCATGATATCCATGTAAGAGATTAAATGTCTTTAAAAATTAAGTCAAAAAATCCATCTAAAAAATAGATTTATTAATAGGCCCGCATTTTTACATATGCGGGCTTGGCCGCATAGAAACCGGGTCCGTTAACTAATGGCACTTCTGCTATTTTTCTTAAATTTGTGCCCATTATCATTCCCCGTTGTGCCTCCTCACCTAGTCCCACTACCGACACGTTTCCGGTCATCGAACGCCCCAAAAAAATCAATGTTATCGTCACACGTGTACATACCTTCACAAACCACTCCACCTAAAGGACCCATGGGTCACCGGCTATAGCCGGTGACAACGTTATCGCCTTTGCCTTGTGTGGCATGTACTAGGAGATCGTGACCGGCTCGTCCGGTCGCTCTATAAAGCGTGGTGAGTCGGCCGTACTCGATATTCCCTTCTCTCTAAACTTTCTCTCTCTCTCTACGTTCTCCCTTTCCCTCACTTCCTTTCTCTATCTACGTTCTCCCTTTCCCTCTCTAGGTTTTAGAGAGATATGCAAGAGTGGGTTTTCTCTCTCTAAACGTCCTTTTTCTCTCTCTAAACTTTCTTTATCTCTCTACGTTCTACCTTTACCTCTTACTTCCCTTCTCTCTGTACATTCTCCTTTTCCCTCTCTAGGTTTTAGAGAGAGACACAAAAAGTGTTTTTTATTTGCTGGCCTTACTGTTTACTCTCCTCTCCTTTCTCTCCTCTTTCCTCTCTCTCTCTCTTCTTTTGTGTGAATCCTTCTCTCTCTGCGCGTCTATCTCTGAGCAAGCGACTTCATTTCACGAGTTCTGTGCTCTGAAGGTATGGTTTCTCTGCCATCGTCCTTTTTCTTCTTCATCTGTGAAGTATGATGGTAGTTTTTAGTTTCTCTCTCTTCTTTAGAGAGAACCCTCTCTCGCCTTTTATCTACTCTCTTTGGACATCTTTAGTGAGAGATTAACCCCTCTTTTATCTGCTTTCTCTGGACTGGACCAGTTTCATTTGATCGCTAATAAGGTCTGTAAGGTAGACGGTCCTTGATTCTTTTCATCAGCGATGGTCTTTTTCTTTTTAGCGATTTTTTTAAGTATTTAGTGTATTTTTCCACCATTATTTATGAATTTGAACTGTTTTTATGAGTTTCTCTGGTTATATTATCCTTATTTGTGACTGGCATCTGTCAGATTATTTTCCTCTTTTTTTGCTTTAGTTATTGCTGTAGTTTTTTTTTTTAAATATATATTAATCAGATCAGGAATGCCTATTTGTTGTCAAATTCGCTATTGTAATTTATTTTCTGACTTTTAGCTCTATGATTTATTCTGATTATTTATTTGTTATTCATGGAATTTTCTTGATCATATTATGGATATTTATTTTGTTTTTTTATTTGATGCTCATTTTTTATGGTCCTTGAACGTTTGTTTTGACGTTCATAGTGCTTTATGCTTTAGTTTGCATATATTCTGAATCCAATTCAAACCGGAAAATTTGCGAGAACAACTTTCGTAGTTGTGATTCATTTCCCTACTTTAGGAGTAGTTTTAATTTCCTCTGATATGTGATTTACAGTGTTTTTGCAGCTTTTTTTTGTATTTTTATTTAATGAACTTGTGCTTTTGAATGATTATTTTTGCTTTGTGCTTTGAATTTCTTCCCTAATGATATGGATCTAAAAGCCAATTTTAATTGTGTTGCCACAATGAAGGTTGGTATAATACATGTCTGAGACAAAAAGTTCAATAATAATTTTCTTTCATGTTCTATTTTTTCATCTGTGCTTCGTTGTTAATATCTTTAGATCTAAGGCCTTTAGCTCAGTTATTTGTTGAATTGGATATGTGTTGTTTTAGTTATGTTGGTTTTCTACTTTTTAGTTCCCTGAACTTATCTTTCCTCTCCTTTTTTTTCCATTTTGTCTTCATCTGTCTCTAGTTTTGAACTTGTGAATGTTCTCTCAAGCCTTTTTTTCATTTTGCAATCCCTTTCCATTCTTCTTACTTCGCTCTCCATCTCTCTCTCTCTCTCTCTCACACACACACACACACACACACACACACACACAGGCTCACGTAGCCCTTCTTTTCTTTGTCTCCTTCTTGTACTGTAGTTTTGCTTTCCTTGAATTGTCCTTTTGGTAAGTCTCGATCGTTTTGTTCACTGGGTTTGTTTCAATGTCAGGAGGCTATTTAGCTAATTGAAGCTTTTTCAGTGCATTTAGTTTTGACCATGAAACTTCTTCTTGGGGAGAACTTCACGGGCTTTATGATTTTACATAGTCAACTTATCATGACTATGTTGATGTATCATCATAAGAAATAAGGAATCCGTTGACATGTAAAATTTGGTGTTTTTTTTTTTGTGTTGTTATCTGTAACTTTTTTCGTGTTCCTTTTCTTAGGTTTTTGGTTTCCATTTTGTTTAGGGTTCCACCTTCTCTACAATGAAAGGGGCAAAAGCGAAGGCACCTACAAGGAAGGGGAAAAAGGAAGCACTGAAGCCAGTGGATGATAGGTGAGAATAATTATTTTATTGCATAGTTCTGTTTTGATAATTAGCTGTTTTAGTCATGGCGTAGTTAATTTTCTTGTTTGCATCTTATGGTTTTGAAGATTCTTTTATGGGGCTTCCTTTTTGGTTTTATACGCTTCCTCAATTTTATCTTGGCAGCTTGCAATGGCTAGTGTGCTTACCTCTTTCTCCTCATGGTAGATCACTGCAAGTTGATGTTGGTCAAGGAGTTTACTTGATCCACCTAGTGATGGATTGTCATCTTTCTGTTTCTTCTTATCAGGAGAGTGGGAAAGCGCAAGGCTACTATTAAGCCAGAGAGGGCTAGTAAGAGGCCAACCAAGAAAGAAAAACAGGCTAAGAAGGACCCCAACAAGCCAAAAAGGCCTCCAAGTGCTTTCTTTGTGTTTCTGTATGTCTTTCATCGTAATATAATTCTCTTTCTAGGTCATGGAGAAGAATGTCATTATTTTATTTGTTTACTTTTTAATACAAAGGATTTCTGTGTTGTGTTGCAATTATCTGTATAATTTGGATTGTTTACATGAGCCGTATAAATGTTGCAGGGAAGAGTTCAGGAAGATATATAAAGAGGAACATCCCAATGTGAAAGCTGTGTCTGCTGTAAGAATTGATTTTAAATCAGAGCATTCTGATTTGGAAAAGTATACTATAATTCAAAGGACTTGGGAAAACCACGGTCCATTAGGGTTATCAATTTCCTAGGAAATGATTGATGGTGATGGAGAGAGTGGAACAGGCCATTGGTTTCATGTTGCCCTCTATTTATTCATTACTGTCATCATTTCACTAGGCATTGATGAGCTCAATGAACTGTGTTTTTGTACTCCTTTGGATGCAGCATGCTGTCCTTTTCAATATGGTGGGTGTGGATTATGTAAATTCAAAGGACTTGGGAAAACCACGGTCCATTAGGGTTGTCAATTTCCTAGGAAATGATTGTTGGTGATGGAGAGAGTGGAACAAGCCATTGGTTTCATGTTGCCCTCTCTTTATTCATTACTGTCATCATTTCACTAGGCAATGATGAGCTCAATGGACTGTGTTTTTGTAGTCCTTTGGATGCAGCATGCTGTCCTTTTCAATATGGTGGGTATGGATTATGTAAATGTTAGTTTATCTTCTATATAACGTGGTTTAGATTGGAGGTTGCTTTAACTTTTACTGATTTGCTTTCTTCTTTGTTTCTTGCAACATCTAAAAGGTTGGTAAAGCTGGAGGAGAGAAGTGGAAGTCAATGTCAGATGCTGTAAGTGCTAACCCTGCCTTTGCTTTTTGACTTAACATTGCTATTATGGAAATAAAACAAAAAAAAATTGCTGATATGGTAGTGAGGGTGTGACCATCAATCAAACTCAAACTTGGTACATAGTATCACAATTGTCAACAGCGGACCATTCAAGCACAAGCCTTTTCGTCCTTTTAAAAGGGAGGTGAACTTGTTTGGTTATCTGGGTCATACTTCAAGGATTTGAATCCTCGACCTCTTTACCCAATCTTGATGTCTACTGATGAGCATTGCCTAGGGGAACATAAGAATATAGGAGCTTTTGTTCTGGGGTTCAATTGTGTTCATGGCTGGTCTTTAGTAGATGGGAGGGATCAGAAGAAGTTTCAAGTGTCAACCATATCCAATTTTTCACCCTACATGAAGAGGGATAAATAACTGGTTAACCACAAAAAGGCTTTGATTGAAGAACTGAAAGAAACTCTTTCTATGATATTGTTTCCAATTTGTTGTCCTGTTTTACAGGAAAAAGCTCCATTTGAAGCCAAAGCTGCAAAGAGGAAATCAGATTATGAGAAGCTTATGTCAGCCTACAACAAGAAGCAGGTAAGCCTGTTGGATCATCTTGGGTTGTGCATCAAAAGGAGCCTTGTCATTGATTCACTAGTTTGTAATTGTTAATCGATATTCGATGGCCTACAGGAAAGTGCAGCTGAAGATGATGGAGATGAGTCTGACAGGTCTAAATCGGAAGTCAATGATGATGAAGACGATGATGATGATGATGAGGAGGAGGACGAGGTAATTGTTTGGAGTTATTTGCACCTAGCTGTTCATTTTCAGCTCTTTGCTCTCTCTCTCTCTCTCTCTCTCTATCTCTCTCTCACACACACACACTCACTCACTCCCTTATGTGGCATCTGTAGGAGGATGATGATGAAGACTGAAATTGATGGCTGATAAGAGCTTGGCTCTGTGCTTTCCGGATTCGATGAATCATGTGTAATCTTCAGGTTTTGAAGTGCTTCATTTGTAAAAGATATATCAGCTCAATATCACTGTTTTTCCATGTTAGGAAGCCTGTATTATATGTTTCTATACAAGTGTTTATACTTTCTGGTACAATTTGCGCTTTTCTAAATGACAAGTTTATGTTTTTGAATTAGGTTTCTATGCATGTAGCATTGTTCACAAGAAGTCACATTGGCATCGATATGGTTGTTAGGAATAAGGAAAAGTATGTAATGAGATCATTTACATTTGGTACAAGGTGGTAAAAAATAATCGTTACCTCAAAAGAAATTTTGTCGAACTTTGTGACACCCAAGCTATCAGATTTCACATCGGATGGTTAATTGTGACCTTCTTGTACCAAAGGTTAATAATCTCATTGTATACAATCCCTCGGAACAATTACATTCTCTTGATTCTGGTGGAGTTCTCTTGCTTAGGGCAATGAAATCTTGAATAAATTATCAATTAACTTGAATGGTATTATGGACTCTTAGTTATTCTTCTTCATATTTGTTGTATGTATTTTGGGTAGGTAATCTTGCCTCTTACTGTGATTTTGGGGTTGATTTGTCTTTTTTCTCCTCTTGAAATTTGTTGGTAGTTAGCATTGATTATGTCCTAGATTAGGGGCACAAATTTGTACCATGCTTTTTTTTCCTGAAGTTATAAGTGGGGATCCCTTTTGATATTAGGAGCTGGTACAGGACAATGGCTATCACAATAGTGAAGATTCTAGATACTTTAGCTAGAAACATGGGGGACAGCCTCCCTCCCGAGAGAGAATTTGAGGAAATCCATGCTTAGAGGATCACTAAGTATATATAGTTTCTGAGCAACAAAGTGTTAATGTGATGTTATACTACTCATTCATTGCTGCGGAACGAGGACATGTGCGTTTCGTGCATTTAGGGGAATTCAACGTGGATGATGATAGACATGGGAGAGCCATGGTGCTTGTCTGAAATTTTCGTTCTTCTAGATTCGCAGCCATGGTGTATGCTATGTGGATACACGAGTGCAAAGATTAGATAAACCAGACATGCATTACTTCTTGAATGACGTTTCTGCATTGTAAGGCACACATGACTTCTTTTTTGAATAATTAGAGATTACTCTCCTAATTTAGGTGTGGCAACAATAGACGATAAGATGAGAGAGTAGACTTAGGTGGGTTGGCCATGTGTGGTGCAGATCCAGTACAACACTTAAGGCGGTGCAAATTAGATCAAATGGAAGCCTAAACAAGGGTAAAGGGGTAGGCCTAAAAGGACATGATTGGAAGTAGTGAGAAAAATACGAGGATTTATGGTCTTATTGAGGGTGTGGCTTTTAATAGAGCACAATGGCAGACTAGGATTCGCGTAGCTGACCCCAATCAATTGGAAAAAAGCTATGATGATGATCATGAATTAGAGAGCACCCTCCTAGTATGTGTCATTCTTTGAATCTGAGTGAGACACTGTAGTCGTCGATGGTAGGTCAATAATTTTCTCTTTTTGGTGAAAATTATTCATATTATGTCATTCTGATTGTGCATATGAATTGACTTGCTTGGTTTTCTTTTCTTTTTGTTTTTGTTAAGATAAAGATAGTAACTATAATAGTATTTGCTGGTTGTGTTATTGTCATGTTGGTGCAACTTAGTTACTATGTTCTATGGGTTTGTACCACTAAGTAGTACTGTGCTAAGCTATTATTCATTTTATCTTTATTCCCTTGCAAAGTTCTTCCTGCTTCTGTTATATGTATTTCTAGTGTGCAATCAATAATCTAGGTGTATTGAGACGCAAAATGCATAAAGTTGAGTTTGTGATCAAGGATTAGTCCCTTTTTTTGTTTGTGGGCGAGCTTTGCATGGGTCCCAACACTTAACGTGTGTTTAAGGACTGATAACCGACCAATCTTGATTTGAGTAATGGAAGTGTGCTAACAATAATGTCATTTATTTGTCATGATGTGACGAGATCTAACAAGATATGCTAGGTGCTAGTCTGACGTTGTTGATGGTTTATTGCCGGCTATCCAATCAAGAATTGGCGGATGTTGGTAGAAAGGTTTCCCTTTCTCCTTTATTTTTTTTTGGTTATTTAGAGAGAGTTGTCCTAAGGACCAAATATTTTTGCTCCTGCACAGATATTTATGGGTCTCATCTTATACTTCGGGATTTGCCTATTGAAATGGATTGTTGCATGGGTTTTCTCCTCAAGTTAGAACATGTGGCTAAAATCTCACTCCATTCTATTAGATCTCTTTAGAAATTTGATTCAGGCTTGGGTCAAGATGGTAAAGGCTAGGTTTTCATAGCCGGTCTCAAGTTTTATTCCTATGTGACCATGTCAAAAAAAAAAAAGAAAAGAGAAAAAAGATGTTTCTTAGAGTGTGGAATTACTCATTAGATTGCTTCTTCTTAGAGAATATAGACAAATACTAGGTCTAAATCAGCATATGCCATCTAGTAGTTTATAGATAAGATTGTACCAGCGATCAGACTGATCCTACTAGCGGTTAGAGGTACCTTGGTTTGGTATGTAGCAAAACCCTGATTTAGTTGAAAGCTGGATTGGTGTTTGATTAGTTTTGGGCATTTGGATTGGTTCATTTTTATAGATTATGAGGTTGAAAATATTTTCTGCAATATACTTTTTGGATATATTTCTGTGATTTTTCTCTCTAAAAAACCCAATACAACCAATTGGACCATTTTTAATTGGACCAAAATTTCATATGTTTTATGGTTGGTCCAACTGTGATAAAGCTTTAGATCATTTCATGCCAGGGGAAACTACAAATCGTTGGCTTATGGGTTTAGAGTAAAATGGGACTTCCCGACGCTACTATTAGTGTTGCTTTACTGGTATGGTTGGCTGCTCTTGATGTTTAGGAGCGGTTTAAATGGTCGTCTTAAAGCCTCCCTAACACCATTTTTTTTCCATTATTGGCAATGGACCCGGAGACTCAAGGGGTCCGGGTGGTCTTCATCATCATCATAGTTTTTTTTCAATTAATTGGGATCGGCAATACGAATCTTGATCTATCATTCTGTTCCATTTAAAGCCATATCAAGTTTGGGTATGGATCAAAAAATTGGACCCGATGGGTTGGGTCTGGGTCTATGTCCAAGTCCCGTAATATTTTTCGGGTCTCGATATATATAATATATTTAAATATAGTTAAATACATAGATATATTAATTTTTGGGTCAGGTCCAAGTTCAGGTCCGGGATAGCAAAACTGACCTGACCTGTGGCCACCTCTAACGTCCAAGCCCTATTTCCCCGTTGTGGCTCCTATTCAGGGAGTCCATAGAAATTAACCAAAAAAAGAAAAAACTTGTTGAAATCGGCTGAGCGATTTTTTTTAACGTTGTTTCTTAGTGCTATCAGGTAACATTTCAGCATTTTAAGTTTTGTTACTCTTTTCACTGTATATGTATTCTAAGGAGTCAGGCTTGAAGTTTTGTCACTCTTCTGTTTTTTTCTTTTGTTTTTTAACTATATATATATGCAAGTCAAGGAGTCAGGCTTTTACTCGAGTGGTGGTTAACTATATATGCAATCTATGGAGTCAGGCTTTTGCTTGAGTGGTGGCAATTGACGTTTAGCAGCACCTGCATTTTTTATTTTTTTGGGGTGATTTAGTGGGATGACAGGTCTACCGAGTCAGGGTTGGGCTTGTGTGTGACGCAGCATATTTTAATTTAATTTATTTATTTTTGGGTAGTTCATTTGGAAGATAGGTTCTTACCCGTTTTTCAAGTGGTTTAGGAGTTTGTTTTTTTAATATATTAGTAGGGTGTTGTCAATAGAAATTGGAATTTCAAGTGGTTTAGGAGTTTGTTTTTTTAATATATTAGTAGGGTGTTGTTAATAGAAATTGGAAACCACAACGTCGTGATTAGCGTGTGGGGTGCTATTATAACCCAGCCCCCCTTCCCGCAACAATTTGCAAAAAGATGAGTTTGATTCCTAAATTATTAAGAAAATCGTAAACGTATTTTTGATGAAAGGATCCAGTGTCGGGAGAAATCACTAGCCACTTAATTGGGTGGAACTAGAATTACAGAGGCCTGGGCAGCTTTCCCGAATGTAACATGGAGAGGGACATTTTGGGTATGTTTGATAACCGAGTTTTTTTTAATGTGTGTTTGTAATATGGAGAGAGACATTCAGGGAATGTTTAATAACCAAGAGAGAGAGTCGAGGAAGACCTGACTTTCCCGGTACAGTAAAGAGGGGAAACGTGAAGTTTTGACTTTCCCTTGTCTCTTGCGACTGGGAAAGCCGTAGCCAATCCAGCTTGCCCCAGAGACTAAACCACCGGCCTATCTTTTTTTAATAATATTTAATATATTATTTTATATTTTATATAAGGAAAACGCTTATATAAAGTAGCAAATTTAAAATATAGAATTAAAGTGTACTTCTAAAATGAAAGTAGGAAAATTAATCATTTCAACATTGAGTTGTATGAATATAAAAAAAAAAAAGGTTTTGAATGTTAAAAATAATGTATTTTACAATACGTTATTTGAGCCATCTATTTTCAATATTTTCAAAGGTTTATATATTTATTTGATTTGAAGTATTTTTGAAATTTAAGATTTTATATTTAGAGATGAAAATAGATTTTCAAGCTATTCTAAGAAATTTTATATTTATGATAAAATTTGGAAGTACACTTTAATTTGATTGTTTAAGGTTGCAACTTTATACACACACCGTTTATGTAAAAGAAAAAGTTCACAAGGGTGAGGCTTTAAACAATCAAATTAAGGGGCGTCTCATAAAATTCTGGTTTTGATGTCAAAAAATGGTTATATTGATCATCTCGATTTCAAAATGTATGAACATGAGAAAAATTGGATTTCTAGTCTTGAAAATGATATATTTTTTAATGTATTTTTTAACTGTCAATTTTCAAGATTTTCAAGTGTTTAAAGATTTGTTCAAGCTATATTATTTTCTAAGTTTTAAATTTTATAATTAGAAATAAAAATAAATTTTTAGGGCATCATAAATATTTCAGTATTGAACCAATATTTGCAGGTGCACCTTACTTTGATTGTGTAGGGCTCCGGCCTTATATAAACCACACCCTTGTATAAAATACTCTATAGTTCTTAATAAAAAGAAAAAGCTCACATAGAGTTGAGGTTCT